ATTTGCGGAGCACTAAAAGCAGCAGTTTTATATTAGTTCATAGAAATAACAATAAGGTATTTATTCTGATTTTTCGCGAGTATTATTGTAACATATGCCGCGAGTAACGTATACAGTGAATAATTAACTCATAAACGTATCTTTACAAGCTGAATAATCGTCAATTAAAAAATTAGTGTTCCGTCATTTTGACGGGTTCCGTAAACCCGGCGTTAATATAACAAATCGCTCGTCGATAAATTAGACGATATAGCAACCGGTGTTACTGATGCTGCAATAGCGTGCAGATTTCGAGGACTTGCAACAGCGTGCATGTTTCAAAAACTTGCAATAGCGTGCAGCTATCGAAGCTTTACGATAGCGTGCATATTTTGCAGATTCGCAATAGCATCGCTGCATTCAAGATTCGACGTTCGAAAATAGTATCTGAAGAATAATTGAATTGAATTGAATTGAATTCAATACCGGAGTACATATTACACATTTATATATAGCACATGTAAATATAAATACAAGTTGCAGATATACGGATAAATATACAAATATACAAATATAAATACGAAAGTATAAAAATAACAACGAAATCCCGTCGAAGAACGACCAGAATCTTGAATGACAGAAAGATCTGCGCAATCTGAGCTCGAAACTGCTGTAAAAAAAACACGCAGCCAAAAGAGGGGGAAGGTAGAAACCCTCAAAAAATACGTGTCGTCCATTCACGGTTCGCGTAAAAGGGAAACAAAGGAGAACCTGTAGCACGCCAATGGCCACTCAGTCATTCCCTTCGGCTGTACCAGAGCCATCCAAAGTCAAAAGTGTCCTTCCAATCAACTTCACCGAGCCCGAAAAGGCTAATATGTCGACGTCGTCCTCGGCGAACGATCGAATATCTTTCGGTGTTTATCCGATCGCGGATCCATTAATTTGATTTCGAGCATCGCTGAGAATTCTCTGGATTGATCGCGGCGTGTCCAGCTGTTCCGTCGCCCGGTAGATAATTGTCGCGCGGCTAAACCGCCTCTGAATCCGTCGGAATCGGGTTTTTGCGGAAGGTAGGACACGAGAGCCGTTCTCGGTTGCCCATGCCCGCAAATATCTATCTGGTGTAGCCAGTAAATAGAATTTACGTCGAGCGATGGAGCCTGGAACTGACTAAAGGGGCGGGGGTGGGGAGCAGACGATAAAAAACAAAGAATATATCCGATAAGATGCGCGGGGAAAGTTTATACTACGGCGAGACGGAGTTTATTCAGCGTCTTCTTTGGAACGATATATGATCGAATCGCTTTTCGCGAGCTATTTATGCGACACGAAGGTATTAATTCGAATTGATCCGCGTAATTGAAAAAAATACAGAAGCTGAAATTGAAAAATTTGGTTATTTCTTCTTAAACTGTTCTATGTGCCGATTGGAATACGGTAGTGCATCGTGTAACTGCAATATATTTTGATAAATTGTTATAAATAATGTTAGCTGCTTTTATCATAAAAGTGAAATTGTTGCAATACTTCCTAATTAAAAATTAAGGCATCATGTCACAGAAATATATTATATATTTTTATATGCTCTCTACATTTTGATATTCCGAAGCAATTTGCGATAGTTTGGCACGTAGAAGCTTTTTTCTAAGAACGATTCCTTTTTCCATAAGTTCATGTATTATTGTCGTAAGAAATAAAAGACTTGATTATGTCTTTAATCTATCGCTCTCTTAGTTACACGTAAAGACAAATATAAAACAAGTTTCGTTAATAATTTGACTGAATAGCAGTGTTTTCTCTTTCTCCTAAAAAATTACATTTATGGCACTTGCATTGTTTTCTACGAACACTCCTCGATTATACAGACAAAATTATAGCCGCCTTGAATATTTCAAAATTAGGCAATCGATTGGGAAACGTCGCATTGCTCTTTGGCAGGTCTAGTAATTAGAACCCTCCGAATTTTCCGCATATGTGCAAGCGTGCCAGAAACGCGATAAAACGAAGCCGGTGATGGCCGTTAAATTCGATGCGCCAAAAGACAGTTTGGAAAGCAGGGAACTTGCATAATGATTAGTAGCCTAATAATTAGCGTTGCGTGACAATGTACTCGTTCCGGCAGACGTGTTTCGAGCGAACACGCTCGGAGCGGCGGCAATCGACGATACGCAGATTTTCGCGGTGTCGAAGATCGTTCACTCGTCGAACAACCAATATTAGGTTGACTGTCGATCAGTAACACCCCGTGCACCTGGGTCCACACGATTAACGAGTACGCGACGTTATCGCGCGAGTAATTCCCCGATGAATGGCCCGGAACTCGGAACGTGCGGGCGGAAGTTCAGTGCAAATAGTCGCCGGCTTGCGACTTAATCGTGTACAAAGGTCTGGAAGGCTCTTAAGTCGGTCGTCTCATTAAGAAGGAGGAGCGACCGATTCGCGCGGATTCGTCTCGTTGGCGGAGGAGAAAGAGCGAGCGTATAATTATAGACATTATTCACCAGCCAGCCAACTGCGCCAAATCCTGACGTATTTATTTCCGTGAAATGAAATACATGCTAACCGGGGAATATGTTGCATTTAATGCCGTAGCGAGGCTGGAGTAGCACCTAATGCTCCCGCGGCTTCAAATGTTACCTGCTTAATTTTGTTATCAACGCATAAAACCATCCGGTTTAGACGAATCGTGAACGAGGAACATTTCTAACGATATTGAATTTTTAAGTAACAGTCTCTTGCATTGTTTGAAATAAGCAAGATATTTGAGTGGATAAAGTTCATAATGGCACTGTATAATTAACCCTTAACGGTCCGATGCCGCCATACACGCGGCAGAAATCAATAAAACCGTAAAATCTGGCGGGAAACATTGGAAGAATAGACACGATTGTTGCGATGAAGATATATCGACGAAGTTTTATTTAAAAAATGAATATCTCTTCTCTATATTTGATACAAAAATTGTCAGTAAAAAATTTCTCTTCGTCTGAAAACCAATCTGGCCTTCGCAGTGTGTAAACCGGAAATAGTTTTGGTTCCCTAAGGATTAAAATCTGCAGTCCGGTTGAGAACAATATTCGAATGCGGATGTCTAATGCGCAGGGACGAAGGAAACGGAACGTGCTACTAAAAGATGTAGTTCCACGCGATTTAATTCGGCGAACCATAGTGTAAGCACCTGTGAATCAGGCAATTAAGGATCCTGGCGGCAGGAGTCGCGGGACAATGGATAAAGCAGTTTCGGAAATACAAGGCCGCCAATTGGGACACCGGTGTTCCCATCGACGCGGCCATCCCTTGTCCTCGTAAAACACGCTCGTAACGTTGCCGAGGGTCTCGTAAAGAGATCCGGTGTAGTTTGACGCTGATCCGAAAGGAGGAATGATCAAGCCGGTCCTTAATCCACGCATCCGGGCCGCTTTAAAACCGGGAATTAACGACCGACCGGTGACACGGCTCGTATAGTCGGTAAATATTTCCCGGAGTCAATTTTCCGGGGTTCCTGCGTGGAAGCGGCGCGGAACGTTCTCCGCAAAGGACCTGCGAAATCCCCGGACAGGAAAGGGACAGAAGGCAGAAACGCGCAGAAGCTCCCAGTTGAACCCAGATTAGAGGACCGATACGGTTTCCGGCGGAACTATCGAGCGGAGGCTACTTATCCACGATTAGGCGACAAACGCGGCGAGCATCTCTTAAATTACGAGGCGCACCGGCTACGTGCCCCCGGCTTCCGTGCATTCGCTCGATAACAAAACGCTACAACTCGATGCCGTATTCGCTGCTGTATCGATAGCGTGCCGATACCGCATCGATACGCGCGCCGGTCGCTCACCCTTTGTTCGAGAGCGACTTTCCGTATTACCTCAGGCATCCGGACTAATGACGAGGCATTCCTGTGGCCGGATCAAGGACCTCCGAATGCCGGCATCATCAGTTTTCCGATGCTGATAGCGATATCGCCATTCCCGGCCTTGAAAGTGGATTCGTGATGCGACCAGAAAGTTGACTAGACAATCGTATTGGTTCTACGAAGATGTAGATTTTTGCAATACAGGCAGGGTGCAAAAATCAGTCGAGAAAAGAGAATAACATTTTGGACGATTTTGGACGACCCACCCTGTATGTGTAACCAGGATTACACAATTAACCCTTTGCACTCGAGTGGCGATTCTGAGGCACCATTAAAAAAAAAATTGTTATATCACGTTCCAAGACAATTTTTATATTATCAAAGTTTAGATGTAAAACATTATTAAGAGTCTAACTGTTGTATGAGTCGCAAGACTAAATTTAAATAAAAATTTAAGTAAATAGATTAATATAGATATTAAAGAAACACTTATGTTATATATATATACTTAATACAGTAATATGAAGAGAGGATGTTCCGCCTGAAACTGGTTCATACTCTTAACCCTTTCCACTCGAAGTCATTTTAACTGTAAATCTAAATTAATTTTTTTGACTTATGGTATTTCCATTTTACTTAAATTTTATACTTTATAAAGTAAATCTAAATTAAAAATTAAATTAAATAATGTAAATCTAAATTAAATCTAAATTAAAAATTAATTTAGATTTACAGTTAAAATGGCTTCGAGTGCAAAGGGTTAAGAGTACGAACCAGTTTCAGACGGAACATCCTCTCTTCACGTTACCACTTTTCAGTTTTTAAACACGCCCAAGAAGTTCGTCAGGTATCGAACAGTGTCGATCGAACTTCGTCACGACTCCTCTATCTAATCATTTTAACAAAAGACGAACCACGTCGCATCGTCCCTGTTCAGAAGGGCATCGACATCAACATCTGCATGTGGAATCCGTTCATCGTTCGCCTTTTCATCGAATCCTCTCGGTGGAACCTAGGATACAACGTCAGCTATCTCCGAAACTGACAGTTACTCTCCCCACGCGGCCTGAAGATCCCAAGATCCCCGTCGTCGTCGTCGTCGTCAGATAATGCAATTTCCCGTAGCAGTCCCCGACGGATGAGAAACGATCTACGTAGAGAGACTCACCTTCGGAAATCCCTGCTCCAGCAGGCGTATATGACAGGGTTCATGCCGCTGTTGATCCAGCCGAGCCACGTGACCGCGGCGAACACGATCTCCTCCTGCCAGATGCACTGCGAGCAGAACCCGGACCAGAGGTTCACCACGAAGAACGGCAGCCAGCAGACGATGAACACGCCCATCACGATGCCGAGGGTCTTCGCCGCCTTCTTCTCCTTGGCGAACTTGGCCAGCTTCCTGGACAGGGAGAAGTTCTTTCCCAGGTGTTGTTTGTTGATCCTGGTAGACGGTACTCTGGTGAGACAGTTGTTGTGGATCGCCGTGAGCGGCTCCTCGAGGTCCTGGAGGTCCTCCGGTGTGCTCGAAGCGGTGCGGAACAGGTGTCTCGCGTCGGTGTTGGTCCCGCCGCCGCGGTGCATCCTCAGAGTGAGTTCCAGCTCGCCGGAGGCCATGATCACCTGCTTGGTGCCTAGTTTCAGACTCCTCGTCTGGATCACGGCGGCCCGGTAGATCTTGTAATAGGTGAACACCATGACGAACAGCGGCACGTAGAAGCTGATCGTCGACGAGAAGATCAGGTAGCCAAGGTGCTCCGTGAACGGGCACTTGTCCTCCGGGACCTCTTCGGTGCGGACGGCTCTCCACCAGGCGATGGCGGGGAAGGAGATCGCGCTGGAGCAGATCCAGACGATCGCGATCAGGATCGCGGCCCGGCGACGGGTCATCTTGCGCGGGTAGGTGAACGGGTCGGTGACCGCCCAGTACCGGTCCAGGCTGATCACGCACAGGTTCAGGATCGACGCCGTGGAGAAGAGCACGTCCAACGAACGCCAGACGTCGCACCAGTCGTGCGCGAACAGCCAACGCTTCTCCAGGACCTCGTAGATCGCGCTGAAAGGCATCACCACCAAACCGACCAGACAGTCCGCGAACGCCAGCGACGTGATGAAGTAGTTGGTCGCCGTGTGCAGGTATCGCTCGCGCACCACCGCCAGGATCACCAGCATGTTGCCGAACACGGTTGCCACCGAGAACAGGAAGAGAATGATCGCCAGGCCGGCCCTGTCTGTCGCCAGATGCCACAGCTCGTCGTAGCTGGTGTTCTGCGGCGGGTAGCTCGCGGTGTAGAACGTCCTGTTCAGCTGTTTGCTCGGCACGTTTACCTCTTCTTCCGATCCGAGCAGATAGACCGCGGTCTCGTTCATTTTTCGGCCCGCGGGCGATGCTCAGCTGCCCGACACACCCCCCTTCACAAGCTCACCCCCGCTCGCATCAGGCTGCCTCGTCCGGACCCCGTCTTCGACGCCCCATCCCCCCGTGCCCTCTCATTTTTCCTTCGGAAATCGCTGCCGCCCGCGCGATCCAGTTGCTCAAGACATCGGTCAGTTGTTTCGGCACCTTCTTCGAGGGGATGCTCGCGCCTGGATCCTGCCTCCAGGTGGGCTACTTCAGGTTTCAGGTGGGTTGCCCACGGACGAGGGTTCGAAAGTTCTGTCCTGGTTCGGTTTCAGTTCTTTCTGCCACCTGGAACAAGAGATGGACGTTGGTATGACTTGGTTCGATTAGCCGGTCGGAGAGGATTAGGTGATCTAACAGGTTGATGGACACGTTACTGTCTACTCAGAGCACCGACTGGTTTACCCAGCAATAGCCCACGAAACCATTTTAATCGATAGTCCGCTCAAGGATTAACACTTGCACAGCTGGGCTCGGATCCATTTGGACCAAAAATATGAGTACAATAAATTCTCCCTAATTTTCCTGCAGCTTGTGAACGAAAATGGACAATTTGGGAAGCGGAGATGCGATTATTTGTGCCTTGAAGCTCGTTTTTGTAATCGTTGACAATCGGAAACTATAAAAATAATCCACCAAGTTCGAATAATCGTATTTCCATTTCCCAAATTTCTCCTCTTTTTTCCAGGCTGATGGAAAATATTAGGGAGAATTTACTGTATTGCTATTTGACTCTTTAGTTTCTGGCAATTCGTATAAACTTCCACATATTTCATCATCGTTCTATAGAAAAACTAACGTGTCTAAGCGGGGGTACGTTAAGAAGTATGTTAAATAAATTAATAATTGAGATTGTAAATCATCTTGTTACATTGTCGTCGAAATGGTCCGCCAACGAATACAGCTAAAACATGGTAGACGAAGCAAGAGATAATGAACCAACAGTTATAAAACAATAGATGCAGAAAGCTCTTAGCTCGGGCTAAGCCGCAAGCCACACAAGCGATCGAGTATTTATGAACAGGAAGGTAACCAGAGTGAATCCACCATCATCGAGGATGAGCGGACAAGAAGAACTACGCTGTCGTTTAATAATCGGCAGACTGAATTATAAACTTATATAATAGCTTCTAAGATTTTTCCAAAAAGGAACAAAATAGAAACTTCGACACCGCTGCCTGGTTTTCTGCATCGCTTTCCCGGATAATTGAAAGCTTCGTCGAATAAAAGGAGAAAGGATTCTTTGCAACCTGTTGCCGACAGCTTAACAATTTATTCGATCGGAGCAAAATTCGTCATTTTTATAGCCGTTCGATGCGTCTCATCGAAACACGAAATTTACGAATAATATAATAATTGGACGAATCGAACCGTAAAATGAAAACGGACGAGTATCAACGAAAAAGTCTGCGATGCGAATAGTCCGCAAGAGAGCGGAGTGAAAGTTAAATTAACTGTCCGAGTGTGTAAAAGTCCCGGCCGGGTAGAAATGTGCCCGAGACGTAAAGTTATGGGAGGCCACGTGTCGCCCCGACGAACTGCACCATTTTATTGCGAACGCACCGTGACCTCCGCTCCCGCATATTACAGAGCGAGACTTTAATGGAGGAAACTGGCCTCGTAAAACGCGTCGATAAGCGTTGTTGATTTATCAGCTTCCATCCTGCGCCCGTTTCGATCTCGGCCATCGAGGAACGCGGAGGTTTATCGGGAAGTAGGAAACACCGATGCGACCGGTGAGCTGAATCGATTGTCAGACGATTAATTATTTCGGCACAGTGTGTCGCGAATCAATTATTCGCGGTTTGTCTATCTTCTCGTCGACGAGATGCTGTCGATGCAGTCGCTTCGATCAGAATTTTCCGTCTCGCGACACCCGAGGATTCGGAACTGAAAAGACCGAGGAAGCTCGTTAGGAACGTGTATCACGGCCGTATCTTCGTCTCTTTAAGATAAAACGTTACAGCTCTGTGTTCATAATAAAATCGGTTGACGGAATCGCGCATAAACCTCCAATTTCGTTTTAGTATCCGCAATCTCTTACTGTACATTTTATGGCTCGGAGACAAACGTCACTCCATTCAATCGAGCTTTCAGAAATACGACCGCCATTCGTTTCATTCCGCAACGTTTTGCAATTTTTCCGTGTAATAAATTCGGCATATTTGTTTGGCCGCGTGATCCCGGCGTGATAACGGAAAGAAAAACGGCAGGATTTAACGAGCGTCGACTAAAATTAAAAATAATATATTACTTACACCGCGCGCGCGCGAGAGAGAGATAGTAAAGCCGAACGAACGTCATAACAATTTTATACGCATCGATCCCGCGGCAATCTCTTCCCACCGTGTAACAACGATCGTCCATGAACAGGCGTGAGCGGTTTAATAACTCTCACTCTGCATGGCACCTTCGTGGATGAAATTAAACAACCCAGAACCGTACATTTCTCTGGCCGGCCAAAAGGAGCCTTTGCCGAGCCGCAAACCGTAACGCATCGCGCGGATCGGCACGGACGCGTGCGTCGGCCCACGGTGATGGTGCCACGGTATTTAATTACCACCGGGAACAATTCCAAAAACAGTTTCCAAACGCAATCCATTACCGGGTTCTGTACACCTGAACGAGCAACGAGCGATGTATTTCCTCCGTGGAATCGAACGAAGCGTCTCTCCGGCTACGGTGCCGGAATAATTTCCCTGTTCCACGTAATTGTCAATCATTTCGCAGCGGTGCTCGCTCGGAACGAGGCGAGAAAGCCAGATCGAAAGAGAAGGAGAGAGAAAGAGAGATAGAAAGAGAGAGAGAGAGAGAGAGAGCGAGAGAGACTCGATGCAAACGATTTAGCAATTTTTCACCAGCTATATTTAGCCGGTGGGAAAAGTGTGGTAAAAAGCGAGCGAGAGGGAGACGGAAAACCTGCAAGCGAGAGAGACAGAGAGGGACAGAAACAGAGAGAGAGAGAGAGAGAGAGAGAGAGAGAGAGGGCTGGGATTTCGTGGCCAGACCGGAGCGTAGGATGGAAAACAGGGGCCGCGCTTTCATCCGTGACCTGGGAGAATGTTTACCGCTACTTGATCAAAGGGGTTTCGATCGGCCGGCGATCGAGGCTTGGGATGTAGCCCGCCTCGGCGTTTTGTCTCGTTCGCACACCCTGATATCGTAGCCGTCGCCGTAACACGTGTCAGGGCCGATAAACCTTGCACCGGGCCGACGCCGATTGCGACGCCGTCGCCGCGTGTATCGAGCGCCGCTGAAAACCAGCCGCGAGCCCCGTTTATTCTTGACTTTCAATATCCACGTCGACGACACACCGCCGTCCGATTTTTCGGAGCTGGACCACCGGCTTTGAAGCTCCTTCTTCCACCTACAACCGGTCACCTGGATAGCCTTTGATCTTGCGGACCGACGCCGTTCTCCTCCGGCCCCGAAATTAGTTTACGCGAAAATAACGGTTTCGCAATGCGTCCACATTTTATTCAGTCGTTTATAAACGGGTTGAATCGTTTCGCGTGATGAAATACAGATAAAAGATTTCGTACAGAGCGGTCGTAGGACACCAGCAGTCGCTTTACATTACTTACAAAAATAAGAGGGGAAGTGAAGACATTTGGAGGCCCGCCAAATCTGGTTGCATTAACACCAGAAGTACCAAATCAGTCAAAATGACTGGTTTCCGACCTTTTCTTTCACAGTCCCTGATGACTGCAGAAATGTTTCTGTCAGACATTCTTATACGAATCTTTTCGTTCGAACGTGTGTTATGATCGAAATCGTAGGAAGTTTAAATAAGTCCAAACTTGTCATTGTTGTGGAACGATATACAGGGTGTCCCAAAAATGTCTCGCAATCCGAATATAGGAGATTCCTGAGGTCATTTGAAGCAACTTTTTCATTAGCGAAAATGCAATCCGCGGCTTCGTTTACGAGTTATTAACGAAAAACACTGACCAATAAGAGGCGAGCTCGGCTGGCGCACGGCGGCCCAGCCAACGAGTGCACCTGTCTCTTATACACATCTCGGCGGTGTAGCTGCGAAATAGCAGCTTCTTCGTGGGAAAAGCTCGATCCCTGTCTCTTATACACATCTCGGCGGTGTAGCTGCGAAATAGCAGCTTCTTCGTGGGAAAAGCTCGATCCCTGTCTCTTATACACATCTCGGCGGTGTAGCTGCGAAATAGCAGCTTCTTCGTGGGAAAAGCTCGATCCCTGTCTCTTATACACATCTCGGCGGTGTAGCTGCGAAATAGCAGCTTCTTCGTGGGAAAAGCTCGATCCCTGTCTCTTATACACATCTCGGCGGTGTAGCTGCGAAATAGCAGCTTCTTCGTGGGAAAAGCTCGATCCCTGTCTCTTATACACATCTCGGCGGTGTAGCTGCGAAATAGCAGCTTCTTCGTGGGAAAAGCTCGATCCCTGTCTCTTATACACATCTCGGCGGTGTAGCTGCGAAATAGCAGCTTCTTCGTGGGAAAAGCTCGATCCCTGTCTCTTATACACATCTCGGCGGTGTAGCTGCGAAATAGCAGCTTCTTCGTGGGAAAAGCTCGATCCCTGTCTCTTATACACATCTCGGCGGTGTAGCTGCGAAATAGCAGCTTCTTCGTGGGAAAAGCTCGATCCCTGTCTCTTATACACATCTCGGCGGTGTAGCTGCGAAATAGCAGCTTCTTCGTGGGAAAAGCTCGATCCCTGTCTCTTATACACATCTCGGCGGTGTAGCTGCGAAATAGCAGCTTCTTCGTGGGAAAAGCTCGATCCCTGTCTCTTATACACATCTCGGCGGTGTAGCTGCGAAATAGCAGCTTCTTCGTGGGAAAAGCTCGATCCCTGTCTCTTATACACATCTCGGCGGTGTAGCTGCGAAATAGCAGCTTCTTCGTGGGAAAAGCTCGATCCCTGTCTCTTATACACATCTCGGCGGTGTAGCTGCGAAATAGCAGCTTCTTCGTGGGAAAAGCTCGATCCCTGTCTCTTATACACATCTCGGCGGTGTAGCTGCGAAATAGCAGCTTCTTCGTGGGAAAAGCTCGATCCCTGTCTCTTATACACATCTCGGCGGTGTAGCTGCGAAATAGCAGCTTCTTCGTGGGAAAAGCTCGATCCCTGTCTCTTATACACATCTCGGCGGTGTAGCTGCGAAATAGCAGCTTCTTCGTGGGAAAAGCTCGATCCCTGTCTCTTATACACATCTCGGCGGTGTAGCTGCGAAATAGCAGCTTCTTCGTGGGAAAAGCTCGATCCCTGTCTCTTATACACATCTCGGCGGTGTAGCTGCGAAATAGCAG